AATAATATGTTAGGAACAGGCGTGTTTTGGCATACAAAATTTTAATATTTATAGTAACTTCTTTTCAAATACTGTGTGCTTATAAAGTGGAATTATTTTTTAGTGCAACAAGTCCTTAATTGAGTCATAACACTTGTCCAAAAGCCATTTGTACAGTGTGTTCTTAAATTTTCTCAGTGTTTTTATATTTATAATATTATCGGGTATATTATTAAAAATTCTTATACACATAACAATTTTTTTGATAAATCGTAGTCCTAGAAATTCTATGTAATACTTGTCTATTTGGATTTCTTCTATTTCGCGGATAATGCTCTTTGGCAGTAATAAAGCTGTTTAAATTTTTCTTAACAAATACAACTTGCTTCATAAATATACGTGCAAGCTAGTAGAAGAATTTTTAAATAGTAGTTGGCAAGATTTCAATGGTGGAAGGCCGCAAAGAGCACGGAGACATTTCTTCTGTACCAAGAAAGCCTTATTAATGACATTGGAATTACCCCATTTCATCATCATCATCAGCATATCAGGCGTTATATGTCCACTGCTGAACATAGGCCTCAGACTGCTGTAAGAAACGATCTTGAGCCATATACATCCATTGACTCCCTGCAATGTATTTAAGGTCGTCACTCTGTCTAGTAGCGGATCGCCTTGCACTGCATTTACCTAACGTCGATACTCAAGAATCTTTCTTCCCATCGATTGTCGGTTCTTCGAGCTATGTCCATTACCACTTCAGTTTGCTTATCCTTCGTGATATGTCAGTCTCTTTAGTTCGTTTGCGGATATCTTCATTTTGGATTTGATCATGTAAAGATATTCTGAGCATATCCCTCTCCATAGAGGGGAAAGGGATTGTTCACAATGGAGTTTGACAGCCTCATTGCTAGCAATATGCTTTATTAGATCGACCTCTACGTGGTTCCCCCTGGAAACCATCGCGAACAATTCTTGTCGAATTCAACACGATGTGATAACTGATCTACTTCATCCTTAACTATCATCCTTCACTGGTGCCCCGCCGGTGTATACCGATAGCGCAGGTGGGCTTACCATTCCATTATCATCCATTAAAAAAAAAACCCCTCTCCATAGCTCGGTGAAAAACTCGAAGCTTTTGTATATAGGCAATCGTGTAGGACCACGTATCTATTCTGTAAGTGTTCACAGTTAATACGTACTGATTAAAAATCATTGTTAGTAAACATTGAAACCTTTTATATCATTTTATCTTAAATATCTTCTATGTATAAAGATTATATCATATATTATTAAGATTAATTAGTTTGAGCGCAGTTGTGGCGAACTTACATTACATAAATAATTAAATTTGGTTCTATATATAAAATATTTATATATACTATATTGACATAATAATAAATATAATATCAGATAATGTTATAAATATAGATAAAATACACTTATATATATTCTTTATTTGGCTTGATAAAAAAAGACACAGTGATTACTTTAACAACTTGTTAGCAAGAGTGGATTTATCTCTGAAAGAGATTTCTTCCAGCCAATATATATATACTACTAAGTAATACGTAGAGTTAAATTAGTTGATTTAACAGATAATTAAACAATTTTATTTTAAATATACTCTTAACTTTGAAGCTTACTCGGAGAGAGTAAGAGACTTATGGTAGTAACAGTGAAGGTGTATTAATTGAAAGAGAGAGTAAATTAGAGATTTATTAAGAGCATTCATAACGAAGCTTGTCGAAGAGTGACGTGTGACAATGTCCGAATTACATACTTATTTTTCAAAAACAAAAATAATTGGATAGCGAACTAAAAAGAACTAGTCGGTAACAGAAGTTGCACGTAAGGCTGAAATTAAAGCTGTTGCACTATTATTATTATTATTGTAAGACGGGTTTTTTAGACAGAAAAACCTATGACGCAACGATCTTTCTATGATCTTTTGTGCTCGCCCTTTGTAAAGTTTGCTGCTAATTTCTATCAATGATAGGAATTTTAAAATGTTCTTTGTAGCGAGGTTTTTTATCTCTTCAGGATGTAATTTAATTCTGGCCCGTGGCCCGTTGCACTTGCTTTCTTTTTACTTATTATAATTTCGCTTTAAATATTTTCAAATATTTCTTTTGATATAAAATCCGAATTTTCAGTGACAGCTTAATAAATATTTTAGTAAATGAACAAGACTTTTTAAATAATAATCATATCAGTCGTTAACTGTCCACTGCTAAACATAGGCCTTCTCCTATAGGGGGTTTTGCCAGTAGTTGCCATGCTTGGCAGGCGAATTGGCATCCGCAGTTGGGCTTTGGTGATGTTTAAAGATGAACGCTGCTGCTCATGTTTCGACCATTAAGTTCGCTGAGTCGATTCTTACGACACCCACTGGAAAGGAAGGGACGGCCTATGTCGGGAAATTTTTTAATAATATATCAGAAATATTAAAACTATACCTAAAATTCAGTTAATTCCCACTACACACTTCTGTAAAGTTTGTAATGAATGATGTTAGCTAACTGAAGTTATCATAACTCTTGCAACCATAAATTAACGTCCAGTCCGCATATAAACTTTAGTTGCTAAACTTGTTTCAAGTAGAACTCTTAAAGGTGGGTCACTTTCTGAAGTAAGTAAAAGATGATATAAAACTTTGTAAGAGTAACAACATCAAATGACGACATGCTTATACTAAATTGCATGTCTTTTCTAAACTTTTAGGCTTTTTCCTCAAGCATATAATGACGCCGTATCAAATAAAGCAGAAGTGTTATGTTGTTATTTTGGCCTCTCTTTGTACAAAAGTCGTTTGCTTGGGTACCTCTGTTCCATTTGTGTTTCAACCGTAAAGCAGTTGTGTTTGCATGGCTGTGTTTCGGTTTGAAGGGTGGGATATGGCGTGAATTTACAGAGTACAGAGGAATAACACCGGATTCCTCAGGAATGGCAACGCATAGGGGATATCATAGGCGAAACAGTATGCTCTGTTATGTCCATCGTAATGCTCATGTCTATAGGCGACGGTCATTTGCCATTCTAAGTTCCGTAAAAAATTGAAAATATTTAAAATTAGAATGTGGAATTGTGTAGCCACGAGTACATATAGATTTTAGTTTGCAAAAAACAGTCAAGAAAAATGACAGCTTCATTCGACTTAAAATTAATACAGGACCGACACGGGTCTAATCGTAAATAGAATAACTAAAATCTGTTAAGAACATAAGAAGAAGTTGTTACGTGACAAAACACAGACCAAAGTAGCTTAAAAAAAACAAAAATATTTTATTCTAACAATTAATTCTTGTGGTATATAATCTTGCGTAGTACATAGATGAATGATCGAAGAATGATTGGTCCCAAAATATTCCAATTAAGACGGCACATCTGTTGATAATGTCCCTACATATTGGATATTACTAACGACATACGTATACTTATCTTTATTGGTGCTACATGTAAAATATAACTTTTTTCCCATTGACGTGGTAAACAAGCATACGGCCCACTTGATGGTAAGCGGTTACCATAGCCTATGAACGCTTGCAACAGCAAAAGCTTTATATGCGTTGTTGAGCCTGAAAAAAATCTTTACCCCTTTTCTGAAGAACTTATTCTATAGCCTGAGTGTTCGTGGGGGACGCATCTCTGAAACCGCGCTGTACGTGATTATCCAGGCTCTAAAGTATGGGGGTGAACTTCCTGTCAGTGGCAAGCTGTACAATGGTAAAAACTGACTATAAGCATCATGTTAAATAATTACTTTGAGCATAAACCATTGTACAAGCGGTCAAATACGCAGAATGAGACAATATCTGTCCTAAGGCTTAAGGTTTTGATATCTCTTGTAAGCCTCCCAGGCTTCCTACAGGGTGACATACATATGATTAGTATCCTTTTAGGGGAGTGTTCTACTAATGATATTAAATGTTTTTATTATTTTTAGAATCTCTTAATGACATAATAAAGGAACAAAAATTATTCCTGGATCCAAATGTGGATCCAGACAGTAGATTAAAGCGAATTGAGTTCATTTGATTATCACATAATCAAGAAACTTAAAGCAATCCATATTTACTATAAAGTCCAGATTGGTAGCGAACTGTTGGACCGTGTCGTTAAGTACTCTTAAATATAGTTGAGTGCAATGATGGCTGGTTCATCCGTCATACTCGTGAACGGGTGTTGCTTGTGGCGACTAGTCCGCTCATTTCTATTTATAAATTTTTTGATTGTGAAATTTTACATTGAATAATAAATGCTTATTCTAATAATAGTATCCATACAGATGTAAAATTATATTGTATATAAGCAATTTGAAAAGAGTAAATGTTGTTCTTGTAAATAAATCTTAGCTGATATCAACATTCCAAACTCAGCAATAATAAATATATAAAATTATTAATAATAAAATATGATAAATAAAATTGCGTACCGCTTTTCAGAAGTCACTTAAAATATTCTTTTTATAATAATTTTTTTCTCTCTGTGATAAGATCTAGAGGTTGTCAGGTGAGGATAAAGGGCTTAGGGCCTTCAACGCATGTAACAATTGGGGGAGCACCTAATCTGAGCGTTCTGTGTCGTATATTTTCCTTTTATTTCCTTTGTTTATGGCAACATTAATCACAGCTGTACCATTGTACACCTAAGCAGCAATTAGTTGATAAGTTTTATTGTTTTTTTTCTTGTTGTTGTTACTATTATTTATACTGCGATCACATTGAGTCCTTTACAGGGTAGGCAGAGATACAATAGGTACAAAGTATATAGAAAAAATATTGCATTATCATATTAGATTTCCTCTTATGGGACACAGGTATTTGTAATTAAAAAACACGATATTTTTTTTATTTTAATTCAAAAATAGCGTCAAACAGTCGCCATATTTATGTAATTTAAATAAAAAAAAAAATCTACTGTCATTCGGGAAACTCGGGATGATGAGGATTCTTACGATTTCTGGACTCGAATCTGGTCAAATATTCAGAAGGTATAATGGAATGAAGCGATTCACATAGAATGGAATAAAATTTTATTGGTATTGTACATATAGAAGTAAACATTGTTTTGGACTTAACATCAGTGTCAATAGTTATACCCTATCATGCAATAATTAAAATACTATTTTTTTAAAACACTTCAATACACTTAACATTACATAATTGAAAATAAATATGAATTATTTATTTTCAATTACATTCAATTATTATTTATTTATTTTTTATTGACCACATTACAATTAAAATGTCTGGTACAAAAAGCGGACATTATATTATATAGCATTCTCTCCCAGTCAATCTTTGGTAAAACACAAATGTAATTATGTGGTAAAAAAAAAATTTAAATTGTTATAGATAAACAATTATACATTATTATAGTGCAGTATATTTAAGGCATCACATGTATATGATACCTTAAATATATTTCATTTTTTTTTTGGGCAGTTGTGTAAAAACCTCAAATCTATATAGATCAAGTCTCATAAACAGGTAAAAATTTAGCCAACTAAACATCACTTTGGCTGACTAAATTTTGATAGGTATTTTGTTTTAACTAGAACAATGCTCGCCATTTTTTGAGGGGCAATGCCCCACCTTGAAACGCCTAATGCCCTACTTTAAGATGAGAGGTCATAAGAAAATTAGATACATTTCCTATTTCGACGTCACTTAATTATGGCTTCTGCCTTACCAAAAAGTTCTTTTGCCCTACCTTAAACTTGGGTCTAGCTATGGCCCTTAAGATATGATAAATAAACTCTATGTAATTATATCTCTCTAATAACAGGTATTAAGAATCCTTTAACATTCGAATAAATTACAGGATCTTGCGGGGGTGGTCTGTATGTTTCTGTATCCTGTAATTCCAAATGTGCATATTGAACTTGTGAATTCAACATATGCTTTTCCTGTTTGACTCGTTTCGTTTCATTTATTTCAGCATACAAATTCTGTGTACAGTCCTGAAAAATAAAATGTAACATACATATAAAAAAAAAAGAAATAAAAGAGCGAATGAAAAAAGAAGAATGTCTATTATAAATTTATAAGAATGTATGTTATGAATATATTATAGTGTATGTATGTATTATTTATATTTGTGTGTGTTTTTACGGTAATGTATTTACGTAAGTATGTACACGATCATAATATGCAGTAATTCTCCAAATGATTTTGCCAGTAGTTGCCACGGTTGGTACGCGGATTGGCAACCGTAGTTAGGGTTTAGAGATATTTTAAGAGGGACGCTGCTACCCATCCCTTGCCCTCTCTACGTTGCATCGGCGAAAATTTTTTCATCGATAAAGAGGCAATTTCTGTGCCTTTGACCTGTGTATCGCGACAAAAGGAATATTGATCGATCCACTCTCTTTAATTGTAAAAATTGATTTAGGGCATGCTCTGTATATCGAAGATCAGCACCAAGTTTCAGGTCTTGTTTTATAATACGCGACAGAGTCCTAGCGGGAATCTTTATTTCTCCCGATAAGATTTTTTGCTTCCTAATGGGGTTTCGAGGAATTCTGGCTTTAACAGCATTAACAACTTTTGTAGTTCTAATAGCCGAATGGCCGCCCCGATCTTTTCTGGTTTTCGACAAAGGAAGTGTTGTTTGTATCTGTTGATAGTACAATACACGAAGATACAGCTAATACCAAGCTTTTGAAGTATCTGAAATACGGCTCCATACACACTTTGTGCAAGGCGATTACTGAATTCCAATTTTCTTTAACACCCCATTCCATATTGTAGTTTGATAATGAACACGAAAAATATGTGAAATTGTGCGAAATCGAAGTTTTTAAAATAATAAACGTGTTCCAAATTTAAAATAATTAAAAAATCGAAATAAAGAAAAGTTTTTATGTAACAGTATTTATGGCCAGGCTAGTCATGTATGTACAACTGAATTAATTTGAATAAACTTTAGTATTTTTTTTTATACAACTTAGAATGGCAAACAAGCTGACGGCCCACCTGATGGAAAGTGGTAACCGTCGCCTATAGGCATGAGCAGTACCATGGACATAACAGACTATACTGTTTCGCCCATGATACCTCCCCATGCGTTGCCATTCCTGAGGACTCAGGTGTTATTCCTCTGTACCCTGTAAATTCACGCCATATCCCACCCTTCAAACCGAAACACAGCCATAAAGATAAATAATATCCTGGGTTGAAATATTAGACAATACTGAGTAATATAAACTTACATTTTCTTCCTCCTTAGATATCTGGTTACGTCTCTGGTTACGTCTCTGATTACATCTCCGGATAAATAAATATACTAATATTACTAAAATTACTATCGCAATTCCCGAAATTATAAGCGCAGTGTTTAATCCATTATTTTTCTCTGAAATCAGAGTAAGAAAATAAATGAAAAAGTAATTAAACAATTAATTTAATTCATTATTTGTTCTTTTATAATGTATAAAAATACTAAAAAATAATAAATAGGTTTTATTATTTCTTTCAAAAGATTATAGTGGCAAATTTATTATACATACAAACAATTATTTAATTAAATAAAATTAACATCTAATTAAATAGTTAATTTGTCAATTATGAATTTTTATACAACTAAATTTTTTTTAGGTACTTGTATAAACATAATAAGGCGATTTTATATATATTCTTTATTGCACTTGTAAGTTACATGTAAAATAATGTATTTATAAATGTGTGAGCATGGGTGGACTTATCTCTGACAGAGATCTCTTCCAGTCAACCCAATACAGTGAGAAAGCATTTCGTTCGCGGGCAGCTGAAGTTATTTATTTTATTGTTAAAAGCAATCTTTTCGAAGTAACTTTAGAAAAACATCGTTGTCAAACGCTACACTGAAGAACGATCACAAGATAGTGATTAGCTCAATAGCTTGATATTTATTTATTTATTCCTTATTGCACAATAAAATTTTATACAAATGGCGAGCTTAATGCCATATGGCATTCTCTACCAGCTAACCATTGGTTAAAAACAGAAAGCGTATGAAGGGCAGATGTGGTGAAAAATATGTGACATATGAGACAATATGTGTAATTATAGTAACACATTAAGGCAATACACAATATAAATATAATATATACATAAGAAATGCACATATAATATATAAACATTACTTTTAATATATATGGATAAACTAATACATATGAAATATATACATATATATATATATATATATACATATACATAAATTAAAACAACGATAAGCATTATGAGATATAATAATATCTTAAAACTGTGGACATATTTCAAAATTATAACCCGTTATTTAATTAAAATTATTTTAATTCCGTTTCCATTAGTATGTATGTAACTGCCAACACTCGAAGACTGATTACCACTATTACTTCTAGAAGTTCCATAACCATCCATATTAGCCATCAATCTCCGACTGTTATTTTTTTGTTGTTGTTGTTATTTTGTTCACGTACGTTTTGCAATATGAGTTTATTCTCTAAACGAGGCGTCTTCAGACAAATTATTAGTCGAAAATTAATCATTCGCAGTTTGGCTGCCGAACGGTTAACATTAGGCTCCAAACAGCGATTTTGGCTGAAGATGCCTCATATAGAAGTGATAAATGTGTCGCAAAACGTACATGGACAAAATGGCAGTCGGTAATCAAAGGCTAATATGGAAGATTGTGAAATTTCTGGTTGTAATAGTAATAGTAGTCTGGTAGTTGAGTATTGGTATCACACTCATACTAATGGTATTGGAATTAAATTAAATAATTCTAATCAATTAACTAGTGATATGGACTTCCTCAAGAGAACAGCTAGTCCAGTAAAATATTTAGAAATTATAAATCAGAAAATACAGATTGGAATGATACGTGATCACATTTGGCATTGCTATGGCCATCATAGGTATATTTAAGGAAGGGGCGAGTATCCATTGCATAATTGGCTATTGCCAACTCCAAAATGCAAGCGAATATTTACATAGACGTATTTAAATGTAAATCACATGGATTTTGGATTATATAAAATGATACGTACCTTTTTAAGGGGCCAGCCCTCCCTAGAAAATAATTTTAATTACGCCAATGATGGCAATGAGAGTTAAATAGTTATGACGCAAATTATCGGTTCGTTCAAATTTCTTTGAATTATCTCTTATAACATATAAAAAAAAACCACGCATATAAAGGTTACTACTACAGTACCATGAAGCAGTTCGAAACATTTTGTGAGTTCGACACTTTTGGCATTGCTTAAAATTATGAATAATAGTAGAAGGTATTAAACGTAGGAGAAGGAGTACAAATTAGAAATAAAATGATCAATTGTCACTTTTAAAAAAATCCAATTGTTTATATACAAGGAAGTATCATAAGTTCACATAGAATATATGTATATATAAATAAATAAATATTTATATATATATATATATATATATATATATATATATATATATATATATATATATATATATAAATAAAGCTCTAATTTCCTACATTAATAATTAGCTACATAGTCTGAAACACTCACCATTTACTTCGCTAGTCGAATGTTCCATAGGTCCAGTATACTTATTTTTATTATTGTTTTTCTTATGTACATCGTCTATTCTGTTACCTATAAAATTATATTATTACTTTATTACTAATACAATTATTGTAAATATATAAATAAATAAATATTGTAAATATGTCAGTGAGTTTGTTACTTCTTGGCCGGTTTAATCAATCACTGTGGCATTTCGTATGCTGAAGTCGCGCGAAAAAGCTGGTCAATTATATTTCAGAAGATTAATGCAAAAAAAAAAGAAATATAAAAATATTTATACGAAACGGTGTAATTTTGTGCTTACCGGGACATATTTCCATAACATTTATTTCACAATCTCGATTGATGATAGTCTCTGAAAACAATTAATTTATTTTTAGAGACTTATGTATCTATTTTATTCTATTATATGTAAAACTGCATTTTATGTCGTCACTGACATAGGAGTGGAGATACTTCGAAATGATCTAAGGATGAAATCTTCCTATCGTTAGGGCGACGAAACTTCTGAAACTTCTTCGAAGTCAATATCTAAATTTAAATGTGACCATATCTATATGTAAATATTATTTTTCATATTGTATTTTGTTTCTATTCAAAGTTAATGTTTATTTTTATGCAACTTAAAATGGCATAAAAGCTGACGGCCCACCTGATGGAAGGTGGTAACCGTCGCCTATAGACATGAGCAGTACCATGGACATAACAGAATATACTGCTTTGCCCATGATACCCCCCATGCGTTGCCATTCCTAAGGACTTGGGTGTTATTCCTCTGTACCCTGTAAATTCACTGCCATATTCTACCCTTCAAACGGGGGGAGGAAGAGGGATTGTTAGTAATGGGGGCTGACTCATTGCTAGCAATACACCCTATCAGGTCGACCTCCACGCGGTTCCCCCTGGAAACGATCGTGTTTAATTCTAGTGGAATTCATCACGATGGGCAAACTGACCTGCTTTCATCGTCATCTATCACCCATCCCTGGTGTCTCATCAGCGTATACCGATAGCGCAATTTATATATTGAAAATTCCACTGGACATTCGTGGCAGAAAAAGGGTCATCGTCCATTTCGACTTCGCCTATATCAGTCGGATATATATATATATATATATATTCATTTCGACCTCATTTTAAATATTTTTTATTGGATAACCACTAATAAATATATCCGTTATTGGACGAATATATAGATTTTATAACTACAATATACAGATATCGCTGTATATTAATAGATATATAGATAGATACTCTTTATTGTTCCCTCTAAAAGTAAACTTATTATAAATATAAACAATTACAAGAAATAATCACAATGAGAAAACAAAGGGCAACCTTTTTTTATAATACTTAGAATGGCAAACAAACTGACGGTCCACCTGATAGAAAGTGGTAACCGTCGCCTATAGATATGAGCAGTACCATGGACATAACAGAGTATACTGTTTCACCCATGATACCACCCATGCGTTGCCATTCCTGAGGACTCAGGTGTTATTCCTCTGTACCCTGAGTGCCACTTTAAGCTGTTTTATTAATTTATTTCGAAAAGCATGTATTTCATTTTTAAATGCATATGCATTTAAAAATGATAGAATTTTCATCATGTCTCCGATCAGACAGTTTATAATTGCTCAATCCATTCGAAGGTTGCTTGGAAGAGATCGCTTTTAGCGATAAGGTCGCCTATTGTTTTCTCACTGCAAGAAATGATTACAGTGAGAAAACAATAGGCGTAGAAAACAAAATTACGTTATACGTAATTTTTGTACCTATAATAAGTTTACTAAAGAATTCTTTTGGAGGAAAAAACACTTTCTATCTATCTATTAATAACAATAATATGGCAGCGCATGAATAGTTCTCGTAGTATATGCATCATATTGATAACCATGGTAATATGGAGGAAAAGGATTGTTAGTAATGGGTTTCAGATCGACCTCCACGCGGTAGCCGCTAGGTATCATCATGGTTAATTCTTGTGATATTCGTCCCGATGGGCTAAAGTATGGTAGTTTATTAAATTTAAATACTTACTGCTATTAAAGTTTTCATTTTTTTGTAAATAATTTAATTCAATAATTTTTTTCTTGCATATATTTTTGTCTTTATCTTTTAATATAAAATAATAAATGGCATTGGTCCATTTTATGGAATTATCAAAATGGACTTGTATATTTAAAACATTGTTTAGAGTATAATTTTCTCTATTATTGTCCGCCTCTCTATTACTTGTCTCACCTGAAAATAATTGTTATTTACTAAATTGAAAGGTGAAAAGTTCTCAACCTGAAAAGTTCCAGACTCTCACTTCCGGAAAGGCATACTGATGACGATGAGAGACGCTGGATCAAGTGTCTTGAAGTTCAGGGGGATTATGTAAAAAAATAAAAATATGTTTTTACTGAAAACTGCAGTCTTTCATTGCCAGGCCAAGAACTTTTCGTCTTACTCTCGTATATGTGTATCAACACAATAAAATATAATATAATCGGTTATATAAAAACTATATTTATTTCTTTTGTTTGTATATTGTGACTGTATTGTACACCGCTTTACTCGTTGATATTGACACTTCTTTCCACTTTAGATTTCCTGGAAGAGAACTCTTGCAGAATTAAACTCCCTTTTTTACATTTATTGTACTTACGAAATAAAGTAATATAATATTTTTTGTTATAGTAATCTTTAACATCGTTGTATCGAGTTTGTTTGTTACCTTTTGATACTTTAATGACTCGACTAATCGCTATGAAATTTTGAATACGCGTAACATATGGGATGAAGAAATAGAGTAATGTATAAAATATACCTGCGAAACTGAACATTTTCACCAAAGAAATATGGGCTAAATTTGAACCTCCTATGTTAATGACATGTTAAACTCTTAGGTTAGTAGGTGAGACTTAAATGTTTTTATCGTTTTTGAGTTTTTAATACACGAAATATCTATCTTAATATACTACGGGGGGGGGGGGGGGGGGTACTGCCATTAGTTTACACGTTTGGCAAACCGGTTGGCAACCGCAATTAGGTGGTACTTAAAGAGGGACACTGCTGCTATCCATTCCTTGAACATTAAATTCCCTTAGTCGCCTCTTACGACATCTATGGGAAAGAAAGGGGTATTTATAATATTAATAGGATATTATTATCATAATTATTTACATTTCTACACTAAAGGTAGACGTTGTATAAAAGTCGTTTGCCTGGACACCTCTGTCCCATTTGTGTTTCTACTGTGAAGCAGTAGTGTTTACATGGCTGTGTTTCGGTTTAAAGGCAGTGAATTTATAGGGTAAAGAGGAATAATACCTGAGTCCAACGGCAACGGCAACGCATAGGAGGTATCATGGGCGAAACAGTATACTCTGTTATGTCCATGCCGCCTATAGACTTGAGCAGTACGCTCATGTCTATCGGCGACGGTTACCACTTTCCATCTGGTGGGCCGTCAGCTTGTTTGCCATTCTACGTTGCATAATAAAAAAAACATTTTATTTTTATTATGCTTATTATTATTGCGATGAATAAAAATACTCGTAGCGTGGACAATAATTATATGGGTATATAACTTACGTAAAATTTCATACGATACATCTTTAGATAAATTATGCAATTTCACTGAACAATTCACTGTTTGCCCGTAAGCACAAAAATATGGTTTTTCTGAAAAAAAAAAGAATTGTAATTGTTGATTCTAATCTCGAATTAGAAAAAAAAAAATTATGTAACAAAACAATTAAAATAAGTAAATTGATTTACTCGTTTATTTTTTTTATCCGAGGGAGTTTATTTTTTTTGTGCAGAACATTATCTGTTGAGTACATAATGTCCCACTCTTGTTTCAGCCGTGAAGCAGTGCTTGTATGATTGTGTTCTAATTTGAACGGTAGCATTCGTTAACTATTCACATTTGAACATAGGTCCCCCTGTATTGGAGTAGTTTTTTTTTATACAACTTAGAATGGCAATCAACCTGACGGCCCACCTGATGGAAAGTGGTAACCGTCGCCTATAGACATGAGCAGTACCATGGACATAACAGACTATACTGTTTCGCCCATGATACCCCCCATGCGTTGCCATTCCTGAGGACTCAGGTGTTATTCCTCTGTACCCAGTAAATTCACGCTATATCCCACCCTTTAAACCGAAACACAGCCATGCAAACACAACTGCTTTACGGTTGAAACACGAATGGGGCAGAGGTACCCAAGTAATCGACTTTTGTACAAAGTCTTCCTCTGGTAAATTTTGGCAGTCGTTGTCACGCTTGGCAGGCGGGTAGACATTGTCTACCTACTCGTATTTTCTATTTTATTGTAAATTTTCTGAGTTAGTGCTTATTTTTTTTTGTTTTACAACACAGAGGGCAAACGAGCATGCGGCTCACCTGATGGTAAGTGACTACCGCCGCCCATGGTCACCAATAACACCAACGGCATTGCAGGTGTGCTGCCGGCCTTTTAAAAAGGAATATGCTCTTTTCTTGAAGGTTATGTTGTTGTATCGGTTCGGAAATACTGCTGCTGGAAGTTGATTCCAAAGAGTGGTTGTGCGTGGGAGAAAGTGCCTTGAAAAACGCACGGTGGAGGACCGCCACTCGTCCAGATGGTTGGGATGAAAATCTTATAATAGTAAGGCACTTTTTTATTGCCATTACAAGTAAACAAAAACTTTTTTTTTTATTCATTTAGTATGACCCACCCTAGTAGATAACCGCAGTTAGACTCTGGTTATATTTTTCTTTAATGGGTGATGATGAAATGGTAACCCCATGGTGATGTTTAAAAACGGAAGCTGCTGTCCATCCCATTACTATTAAGTTCCCTTAGTCGCCTCTTACTACACCCACTGGAAAGGAAGGAATGGCCCATTCTACGCCGGGACCACATAGCCATTATATTACATGATATGGCTTATTCACTGTATTAAATCAAAATACATATGATTAGACACTTGACAATATATACTTAAATTGCAAATTGTTATATTCAAATTCATTTATTATCACATAACATGATATATTTTGTTAATAACGATCTTAAAATTATGTTAGTAAAGAAAGTTGGAAGTTGGTTGACCGTATATCAACACGTGTATATAGCAATGTGTGCCTTGACATAGGATGGGCCATCTATTCCGTTCCCGTGGGTGTCGTAAGAGGCAACAGGAGGGCAAGGAATGGGCAGCAGCGTACCTCTGAAAACATCTTTTAAAGCTTAACTGAGGTTGCCAACCCGCCTGCCAAGCGTGGCAACTACTGGCAAAACTCCCCTTATGAGAGAGGCTGTCCGGCATTGGACAGTTAACGGTTTAAATAACAGTAATAATATAATATTAACACGGCACGTATTGGCAGCACGTACGAGATCCCTGATGTTACATTCGTCTATAGGCTGATAACGTTTACCATCAGACAGGTCGTATGCTTGTTAAGTATCATAATAGTATGAAAAAAAAATAGAATATATTACTTACCACATTCGTTTTTAGTCAAAATTATATTAGGCAAACTTAATAGTATTATGGTAATCAATTTGTATTTTATCATTATTTGACAAAAAGAAGAGTACATTGTTACATTATATTTTATATAAAATATTTAATTTAAATTTATTTTGTATTATCACAATTTATATATTTGTCCGTCCATTTACGATCATGAATGTCGAATGACGAATCGTGTGACATAATTAATTCGAAGAATTATTTAACCTACTCTTTGTTTAAATTCGAATTATTATTAGTATATTTCATCAATATAAGGATTCATCACGTCAATCATTAAATATCCACTGGTGAATATAAACCTCCCCCATGAATTGCCGTTACCATTGCGGAGTTTAACACATTTGAGATTATTGCGGATAAAACAAGTGAGCTAGCCGCTAGCTGGTTTGTTACCTTTTTGCGCCTTGATAGTTTAATTAATCTTTACTAATATAATTAAATTTCTGTCCCGTATGGTTTTGGCAAAGAATAGGCCACACTTTTCTTTTCTGTGGGTGTCGTAATAGGCGATTAAAGAAACTTAGTGATTAAGGAACGGGCAGCATAGTCCGTCTTAAAAGATATCTGAAACCAAACTGCGGTTGCCAATCCGACTAACAAGCGTGGCAACTAATGGCAAAAACCCTCCAAGGGGGAGGCCTACGTTCAACAGTGGTCAGTCAATGGCTGATATTATAATCATAAATATCATAAATGTGAAAATGATTTGTTTGTTTATTAGTTTTCGAGCTTCATCGAACTGCAACACTGACAGCCGATTTAAGTCGGCTCTGTTCGCCATCTTATGCCGCGCCGTCAATGGCACCGTGTCCTATATTATATTGTTTTATGCAAATCCAACTTTAGTTAGTTGTAATTAAACAACAAGAATCATGATAGTATTACAGTTCACCGTTTTATCATAAAATTATCATCCTTTACGAGCAAGGGACTAAAAAAATTGGTCCTTCGAGCCGGATATATTTATAGCGCCTTGACGGCTTAACCAATCAGTATGAAATTTGATAGGCATGCACTATATGGAATGGAGAAATATATAGGGTACTATTTATACTAATCAGTGTAGGTATTCTTGTCACGAAGTCGCAGGTAAAAACTAGTCATAAATGAACTTAGCAATCACGTAGTATTTGGAATAGAGACAGTTTTTTTTTGTCTCGGTATTCAATAAAAGTCGAAGATCACGCTGACAATGTCGCGGTTATAAACCAGTATTCAAATAAGAAATTCAAATGCAGAACCCTTCTAATTATTATAATTAAATAAGGACAAAATAGCAGATTGCCACTTGTGAATAATTGATAACACTTTGTTGGGACAATGTTTCAGTACACATTATCCTGGTGGCATAATTAGATAGACAATTTTATTATTATTCATTCTGATATTTCTTTGTTAATACCAATAATTCATACAAATTTTCCTGTTACGTCACTATTATGCACTTATGTATATGATATAATTAAAATTGTTTTTCCTGTTTTATGCGCATGTCTGCACGAAGCACTTTTATATTCGTTAACGATATCATTCTTGTTTATTTCCATAAAATTGGCTCATTAATCTATATCTGTAAATCACCATATCTATGTAATCTCTTATGGACTCCCGTGATACAGCTTCGCTTAGTGCAGGATCCAATGCATTCACATTGTAAATTTATTGTTTAATAAATAAATAAAATAAAATCCTATTTCAACTGTGATATAACCAGTAATTTCTTTTGAAAAATAAACTACTAAATCGATTTTAATACAATTTCTATAGCACTAATTTGTAAGTATATCCTTTCAGATAAAAAAGCACATGCACACATACATACATACGAATATATATATATATATATATATATATATATATATATATATATATATATATATATATATATATACGAGATATTTTTTAAATACCTATAATTGCATTTTTACATGTAAAATATGTATGTTATAATGCAATACAAGTATGTATGTTGATGTTCTTATGAATAAATAAATTAAATTTTAATCATTAAAAGCTAAGTTACTTTCAGCAATTTTTCACTTAGTTTTCGCAATTCTGTTATTGAAAATGAACCATTCATTATGAACTAAAAAAAATTCAATAATCGAGAGTTAATTGTTCGTTACCTCGCGTTCCAATGAGTTCGGAACGTAAAAAAAGCTTTAAGTACCTATTTAATTATTTAGTTAGCTATTTAATAAACTGAGATATATACATAATGGAAAAGTATTTTTGTAATAAAATCAATGGTAGGTATTTATATTGTTCATCGAAGGAAGAAAGCTAAGAATAATATCAATAACTAGATGTATTCTGCGACTTTACCTGCGTGAATCAGTATAAATCTAAACCATCCTTATGTAATTAATCGTTCATTGCTGAACATGGGCTTGCCTTATAAGGGGGGTTTCGCCAGTACTTGCCAAGTTTGGCGGGCGGGTTGACAATCTCAGTTTTTCTTAACGGATGATAATGGAACAGTAGCTCTGCCTGCGTTATCGGTATACGCTGGTGGGACATCAGTGAGGGATGAGGTAACGATGAAAGCAGGTCAGTTAACCCAACGTGACGATTTAAACTAGAATTAACCACAATGTTTTCCGGGGGAACCGCGTAGAGGGCGACTTGACAATGTATATTGCTAGCAATGAGACTGGTAATCCGCATTACTAATACTCCCTTCCTCCCCTAGCAACCGCAGTTCTTTTATGGGTGAAAATGGAATGGCAACCCCGTCCGCACTATAAGTATATACCGACGAGGCACCAGTGAAAGTTGATAGGTGAGAATTAATACAGGTCAGTTGGCCTACCATGTGAATTGGACAAGAATTAACCACGATGGTTTCCAGGGGAAACCGCATGGAGGTCGACCTAAGAGAGTATATTGCTAGCAATGGGGCTATTAGGCCACATTACTAACAAAGTTAGACTGCGATGATATTTTGAGAGGAATGCTGCTGTCCATCTCTTGACCACTAAGTTCTCTTAGTCACCTTAGTTTCCATTAAATGTAAGATAGAACTTACGGCACGGGAAAGGAAACTCATTCTATACCAGGACTACATGGCAAATAATTTCTATATTATTTCCTTACGTATATATTATATCCTTCATAAATCAGTATTGTATGAGACACAAATCTCTAAAATGGATAATTACTGCTTCCCATATACAATAATTTTGTACGACTATAATTGTAAAAGAGGCTACAATACGAACTATAATATGGGACCGTTCCTAACCATAACAATGGGGTACCCCAGTGGATATTGTGTTTTGAAATAATACGTACATTTAAACATGGCAATAACATTGTTGATATTTATTGTATGCGTTTACCTTAATTCGAAATGTGTATTTAGTTAGAATGTTGAAAATATAATGAATGAAATGATATAATTATACATTTTTCATGCAACTTAGAATGGCAAATAACCTGACGGCCTACCTGATGGAAAGTGGTAACCGTCGCCTATAGATATGAGCAGTACCATGGACATAACAGAGTATACTGTTTCGTCCATGATACCCCCCATGCGTTGCCATTCTTGAGGACTTAGGTGTTATTCCTCTGTACCCTGTAAATTCACTGCTATATCCCATAATCAATAAATACAATATAATTATTATGCAGCTTTTACGTGCAATTGATAATAATATTGATGTTCTGAATGTCAATCGTTTAATAATAGACGGGACAATTAAATTCAATTAGACACCGTTTCTCGCCTATTTCTTCATAAGTAAAATCGCTTACTGCTAAGTAGGAAAATTAAATTCAGTCTACTACCGATTGGACGGGACAGTCTATTTTTATAAATGTTAATATTAAAAGAGAACATATTAAAAAGTCATTTCTTTAATTAGTTACTCGTATATAAATAATTGTCAACCGACTTTAAATAGGAGGTTGTCAATTCGCTTGTATTTTTCATTGCTCGAAATTCGATAACCATTGGGGAAAATAGGTTCTTGAATGTCGACACCGTACGAGCAAACAAAGTGTAGGACGATCTCCCACTAGATGGAGCGACGACTTTAAACATTGCAGGGAGTCAGTGGATGCAGGTGGCTCGGGAACATTTCTTATGACTTAGTTTATGGGAGAGGCCTATGTTCAGCAGTGGACAGTTAACGGCTGATCATAACGATGATGATATAATTATAAACATGATTTGATAGGGTTATTATTACCAGAACAGCAATTAGCAGGAGCTTTACTGTAATTAATCAAACAAGTAATATTCTATAAAATAACTATCCCATCTTATTACTCTGGGTGGGGCAGATTATAAAAACTTATGTAATTAAGTTAAGCAATTTGTAATTAATACAGGGGACTATATGTTTTTTTTTTTTAAATAATATCAAACGATTGTAATTTTTCAAATATCTTCTTTCATAATAACCTTGTTCTGACAATTACGAACACCGCTAAAGAAGAATTATGCAAATATTGTAGATACAACCATTTGCAAGAAGAAGTTTGAAGTTTTGCGCTTACATTTTGGTAATCTTAAAGAAAATAGCGCAATTCTTTTTTTTTTTTTAAATCCGGCAACACCTGCTATGTCTCCGGTGTTGCGGGTGCTCATAGATGGTGGCAGTCACTTATCATCAGGTGAGTCGTGTGCTCGTTTGCCCCTGTTATAAAAAGGAAACACACATTTGGCTAGTCTTTTTTTATTTTTATGCTAGCTTTTCCCCGCGATCTCATCCGCATGATGGGAATATGTTCGCTGACCGGAATAAAAAGTAACGTATATCCTCCTCCATCCCATATATTATATGTATACAAAATTTCATAATGATCGGTAAAGCCTTTAATAAGTTATAAAGGAACAAAAAAACTCATTTTCATCGGGTTCTATGATTCTTGTAAAAAACTATGTCAAAGTAAAACAACGTACAGATTTTGTACAACGTACAGATGTGAAATTTTCTGTCGAGTATTATATTGAAATTTCATGTGTTGAATTGAATAATTATATAATTATTTGTGTATATAGACCTCCCAATAGTGACTATAATGTAATTGAAACGATAATTAAGGGTTTAACGAAACAATAATAATGATATTATTCAGATATAAAGACGTTATATTACTTATTTGAAATAAACGACGCGACTCCTCTCAAATGCAAATGTA